ACTTTCACTTGGCGAAAAAATTCAATTTTGGCGAAAATCGACTTTCACCCTTGACCCACGTGAAAATGAAAAAAATTTTTTCCCCTTTTTTGTCACCTCCGAGGGTTTCATTGGCATCAGGGGGTCAATAAATACAGAATCAACGTTCACTATTTTGTATTTAAACACCGGGGGCCTGCAAACGGGGAGATGAGGGTGGCTAAAATATATTCTGCAACCCTGTCTCCTCGTTGGCTATAAATTTCAACCCTCCGCATACATGCCTTCCCCTTCACCCGCTCGTAAAATCACGCGTTCTCGGTAGCATCGAGGAGGTTTTCTCAGGACCGAAAAGAACTGAGGATTCGAAAGGTCTCTGGAAAAGTACGTCGCAGAACTGATCAGGACTTACCAGGTCCATCTAGGTCTGGAGAGATCTTGAAAGACCTGTGTACGTCCAATCAGAACCAAATCCTCGACTCGGGATATTCACCAGAAAAGACTTCTTTCGGCTCACTGACGAAATATATTATTTCATCCTCAAGTACACGACAAAATCCCCCTTTCTAGCATTTACCGATGAATAATTTGTTTATTTGCAAACAAAATATTTTTCTCTTTCTCTAACTTTAGGTCACAAACCGACCAAATGAATTATTGACGAAGATAAAATACCGACCGATATAGGAAAAGAACCTTCAACCCAAGTCGGGTTTCGGTAGTGATGCCGCGAGAGACTTTACGAGACATCACGAGACAATACTTTGGAGGGATTGTCTCAGTCTCAATGAACCCGAAAATTTTTGGTCTTGTCTCAGTCTCGAAATACGCAGTATCGACTTCTGCTGTAATGACTCTGAGTCAATTTATCTCACCTCGGTTTCCAGTTTTTCCCGTTTTTTATATGTAGAAAATCGAGCCGAGACAAAGTGAGACAAAAACCGAGATTTTCCATTGAAAATACGAAAAACTTGAGTCCGAGATGAAATAAATTGACTCTGCGTCATCACGACATGAGTTGATCCTGCCTATTTCGAGACTGAGACGGGACTAAAGATTTCCATGTTCATTGAGACCGAGACCATTTCTCCAAAGTATTGTCTCGTAAAGTCTCTCGCGGCATCCCTAGGTTTCGGCCCAAAAGTTTTCCCAAGATCAAATTTTTCGACTTAAGTATTCAGAAAGTTTTATTTTGTATGAAGAATTGAAGCGTACACTGGTTGCTGGCTTATCCAGTTCGAGGCGCTTTTGCAGAGCTAACGCGGTTCTTCTTCTTGGGCCTCCTCTTACAAAGGGGGACTGTCTTGGAATCCTGAGAATGTGGATGCCACCGACGACTTTCCAGTGGATTCTGAAATACCAAGTTCGCGCAGACCACGATCCTGATGTTGAATTCATCTAATGAATTACTTGATTCTTCGTCACCATCACTACATGCTTCACTATCGACATGAAAAATCCGCGTGAAATGTTCAAGAACAATTATTCTTAGTGACATTTGAGTTTTTTTACTAGGGTCATTCCACCCGTTTCGTTGATTCTTTACAGCAGCTATACATTCTAAAGCGAGTTCTCAAGCAAGATCTCACACTTCTGTTGCAGGAATCTTGCGATAGGTATCGGAATCCAAAATTTCCCTGAAGGATTGGCGGTATCATTACCCCTACAAGCTGCTGGTTTCAGCACTCTGAAGAGCTTCTGGTATGGCCAATTATCGGGTATGGTGGAGCCAATTGCTGGTGTCCTCGGCGCTGCTGGCGTTTCACTCGCAGCACCAGCTCTACCCTATGCACTGGCTTTTGCTGCAGGTGCCATGATTTATGTCGTCGTTGACGACATCATCCCGGAAGCACATCAGAGGTAACGTACATTAATTTTACGGAAAAATGTCACGCAAATCGTTCATATCTATCGCCATTACCTTATTGTTGGTAACCAATACCATGTAAGATGTGATCAATCAGCTACAAATCCGAATGGCTCACATACTTTGTATATATGTCCCACTTTCCACTTGCAGTATCATAGATTATTAGTCTTAGAAGTAGTAGATTATCAGTTTGACAATCGTTAAACAATTTGGCGACAATTATTTTGTTTCTTCTTTTTTCGATGTAAATATTCTTCCGGAGAGACAAAGAAAATTTTGTCTGAACAATCAAAGGAAGGAGAAGGGGCACGCAAACAGGAAGGAGGTTTCGTGGAGCTCGGTTCCCTCAACTGGTTCCAGCTTCCTTTTTCACTCTTCGTATATCCCTCCTTATTTCTGCTCTATTTTACTCAATCTTCCATTCTCCCAAGAACTTTTTTCAGAAATTTTTCTTTCTTCTCTTCATGACTAACACAGTCCAATACAACCATATTCACAACTATCACCGAACGGGATCCCGTGGGGTAGTACTCATGGCACTTGCACCCGTTTTCGTCTCATGTTTCATCATTGATCCCATTCATAATTATTTAAAATTTGTGCATTCAATTTTTTTCGATTTTTCCACATAGACACAAGAGTCAGTTTTCATTCCATCGGAAAGCGAGCGGGGAATACAGTAGAGGCTTCGTATAAGATACCTCTCTGTAAGATACTTCCACCCTCCGAGCGGTCGAGGCCTACCCCCACTCTCGGCACTTTTATCGCCTCTTGAATGTTTAGGTTCCGTGGGCTTCTTATAAGATACCTATGGCCCCGGCCATTTTTCAACGGGAGGAGAGTAGAAATAAGGATCAAATGGTGTTAAGGGTCAAACGGGAGGGACGAACGAAGTAATCATGAGGGTCATGAGGGTCTAATGACCTTAAGGGGGGTCACACAATTTTTTCAAGTAATGTATATATACATAGATTTTTTTTCACTCTTCCCATTGAAAAATCGTAATTTTTCGTCTGCGATTATTCTCGAGTCCACCAACAATTCCCCAACATCAGCTGCCTTTCTATCACGCTGGGTTATGTTTAGAGATAAACGGGAACGCGGGCGATACAAATTCAAAACAGTAAACACATATAAATTGATTAGTTATCGATATTCATTCAGTAAAAATGAAAATTGCATTCGGGCGCAATGAGCGAGGTATGTTATTTGAAACCCGCTGATCCCTATTTTTCTCCTCTCTGTGGGAACGCGTAGTGGGGGCATAGGCGTTCCCGGAATTCCACTCTCCTACTGTCCCTAAAGTATCTTATACGAAGCCTCTGCTGTACTATCGGATTGAAAAGTATAGGCCCCCGGGCCTCAACTTCAGATGTTGTTCTTGCATCGAATAATACCCCAAAGCATTCAACTTCATTCTTCTTATGGTGATTTAGTATTTCTAGAATATAATTCTGAGGGAAAAAATTGATACTGATGTTTAGGAATGCTGTAAAACCAACAAAACCTGCGGAGCCAGAGGCCTAGGTATACTTTTTACCCCGATAGTAGACCACCGCAGAGACCAAGGTGTAGCCAACAAAATGAGGGCTGCAAAATGTGTACGATGTATAGGGTATTGAAGAAAGATTCGCCCATAAATTGTACCGAATTTTCTTCCCCACAGAGAGAGAGAAAGAGAAAAAGTTTCTCGGTTACAAAATCAAAGTACACTGATTGAAAACGTGGAACAATTCAGTAGTGAAGTGGTAAAACGGTTAAATCGACTTATCTCTCAGTTGAGTTTTTGAGGAACATTTCCGAATCTAAGGGTGATGGCGAAATTTTTGAAATCACATTTGTTGTAGCTCGCAATCGGTTCTACAAAAAAGGTTATAACAAAAATTCTGCTATCTCCCTTAGATTCCGAGGTATTTCTTGAAAACTGGTCAATAGTCCAAATTGACTTGTACCGTTTTACCACTTCGCTACTGAATTAATTTACTGTTAATAAGGTTTCTTAACTGTACCTCGATAACGAAACCGATCCTATTTTATAAATATTTTAATGCTCATTTTAAATTATTAAATAAGTTCATTCAACTAGACTTGGTTTGAAAAATCATTTTCTTGTCATAAACAAATTATCCTCGTCGTCGGGACAAGTACAAATCTCCTGACGAAAGTTTTTGCTTCCACATTTTAAGATATTTTCTTGTCAGTTCTCGAGTCATGAGTTTCTAGATACAAGTGAAGACGTACTTATCAAAAAATATTATTGTTCTCAGTGCAAGTGTCGCATTAATCCCGTCATGGATTGATTTTCGAATTATATATTATTCAAAAGTCTTTACCAAAAATTTGACCTATTGCAAGTGAGAAAAGCGCTTAAATAAAACACACTTTTAGGTTCTTGAGGGGAGGTTCACCTTGGAAAAAAAAAGAAAAGATAAATGTATGGGGACCATTAAACCTAGAGTTAGTATTCATGAGTAAAGTTGATACCTAATATTTGAACAAGAAGAAATTTTGATAAACAAATAAATTTCAAAATGTAATTCATTGAAAAAATACCTGTTTGTTATATTTTATGATTCGTTCGGTAAAAAAAATACATCTATGGATGCACCGCTACGGTATTTTGTTTTTCTCAGACCCATGTGAGGGTCATGGGGACGAATGGAAGTGAAATTTTACTGAATGCGTTTGGTGAAAAATCATTCCACGTTACACTGTTGAAAATTTTCCTCCCAATTTTCCGTGCCAAATCCTGAAAATTTTTATCGTGTTTAATTTCTATTAAAATTTTAGGAAATATTGTCATTGAAAAATCAAATATTCCATTGATTTTCTGTGCGAATGATCTGAAAACCAATGAAATACTTGAATTTTCAGTTAAATTATTCCGTGAAAATTCAGAAAAATCGGGAAAATTCATGTCATTTCGTTTCTGAATATTCATGTTCCATTGAAAATTCAATGGAATTGTGAAATTTCCATCTCACTCCCACTGAAAACTCATGAATTTCTTTGAATTCTACTTAAAACTGGAAATTTCATAACCATTTTCCCCCTAAATCCGATTCAATATCACTTTCGCCAGCATTATCATGATATTTTCCATGAAATTTCAAAAAAATTCTAACAGTGTACAGAAAAATTATACGCAATATCGAGCAATCATTCACGTTCACTGAGATAATTTTTGATGGAATGCATGGTAAATTTAATAGTTTCGGCACAAATTGTCCCGGGCCTACGGAGAAAAGTTCATTATTCATTTCGCACTTGTTCCCGATATGGGGTAAAAAAGTACAGACAATCTAGTTTGCTCCATAATTACTTGACATGCTCAGTCATTTTTCTGTTTTCTCCGTGCATTGATCAAGAATATCATTAATTTGTCTTCATTCCTTCTATAAATTAATTTCCTCAATTAACTGTTCAATTTCCTCATTTAATCATTCTGAAATTAGAATTAAATTTCACACTAAAGTTGCTGACAATCCCATGTACGCATGCGAAAAATTCACATTTTTTACCTGTGGGATTCAAGACGATTAGAAAATATAATAGCCCTCAACTGTGACGTCAGGATGCAAGTGTTCTAGGGGTATGTATAGTTAGCGGCACAAACGGACGTGGCGAATTTCTTTCCCAGGACCCGCTAGACGCGCATTGTCATTGTAATTGGCTCTTTTTGTATTTCGCGTGCGATCTGACCTCCCAGACTCGTCTCTGTTGATTCTCACCCTGGTGTATAAGAACTTTACAAGGTTTAGTAGGCAATGTGGGGCTTCCTGAGACACTCACCGCTCGTTGGCTCCCTCGGGAATCCTGTCTATCTGTTCGTCATCGACCTCATGCATAACGCGATGCGCGGGAAACAGGCAAAAGTGAAAATTCCAAACGTCATATTTACGGTTTCGTCCTCCCTCTCTTTTTTTTTCTATTTCTACCTCCTTCACTTCCATGTAATAGGACTACAAGTGGGGAAATTTACATAGTGATTAAAGTTCCGCGCGAAGTACATGAGATTCTTCCAGTCTGAAATATCAATTTTCTATTGCAATGTATCGATGTGCCAGCCGGTAACAGGCCGATAGATAAGGACTCATCAACGGTAGTATTATACATTGTCAGAAAAAAATTGAACTTTCATCGATAGTCGACTAGTCATTTTTAGGAGAGTGACACTGCATGTAATTTAAGAGAAGAAAATTCATGAAATTTCAGTTTTCCATGAAAATTCAATGAAATTCCGAACTTGTGAACAGCATTGAGATGAGAAATCCTCAACCTCAACCTAAATGAAAATTCAGGTACATATTTACTAGAATTGTCCTGATTTCCACTGGTTTTCGACGAATAATTGAATCAGAATTTACAGTTCTTATTGATTTTCCCATGAAATTCTAAATTTTTTATGACAAAATTCCTTGAAATTTTAGTGGAACTAAAATATGATAAAAATGTCCGAAAAGTGTACCGGAAATTTCAGTCAAAAATTTTGAATAGTGTACGGAGAGGCGTTTCTATGAAAATATACTGAGAGATCCTCGCAAAAATGACTAAACCTCCCGAGGACGGAAATTTGAGTAAAAATGTTATCTAGAAAATCGCGGCAATTTTTACTACACAAAAGTTAATCGTGGAGTGAAATTGTAACTCAGTGAAAAATACGTTTTTCCCCGGCGGGCGTAAAGTACACATTTTCCGCTACAGGTCAATATCGCAATAACTATCTCGGTTTGTGTCACCCGCAGCCAACTTTTAACGTATAGAATTGAAAATTTATCGAGAAAAAGTAAACAAATCATCTTAATGTAAAGGAAATTTTCTACTCCTCTAGGCAGAAACAAATTCTCATAATCGCACGACTACCGCTATTCAAAATGAACAACAAGATGTCCGCGCACTATCAAAGTGTGGCACTTTCTGGGACAGTGCCCCCCCCCCCCCCTCCAATTACCCATGTCCCTATTTCTGTCACTCGTATTTAAGAGCAAACTAACCTATCAGAATCTTTGTCACTGTATACTTTTAGTAATGGGAGGATATACACATCATCTTTCAATTCATTTAGCATTTTATAAATGATCTCATGACATTTTTATCATTATTATTCGATAATATCACTAATGCACTTTACTTTTCCACCCGACATCAACTAACATCAAAGAGTGGCTATTGGGAACGCTTAATAACAAGACGCCCTCTATGAATGTCTGCGTTAAGGGTGCACATCTACGATACACAAGCAAATGGGGGCTTGCGTGAGCGCGTGTGTGAATACCTCTTTGACGGCCATATTGGCAAAAAACAGCGCCCTCAACGATATTTCCTGTTCCCAATAACTGAAACATGGCCTTTCCTAATGGCAGGAACTGGTTCATGACGAAGGTTTTCTATTTTGCAAATATTAATTCATTTAATCGTTCATTTGAGGAAATATCAATCGCAGATGATAAGAGAAAGTATTAAACATCTAATTGGTACATTGATGTGACGAATTGTGAAAAAAACAATAATCATTCAACTCATTAAATACACGAACCGCTTCGAGTAGCATTAACTGGGATATGGATGGTACTCCTATACTGATCTGGTTCATTAAATTGAAGTTGAGAACTTGAAGTATAGAAATGGAGTAACTAGTTTCTTATTCTCAGTACAATGCCTTCTACCTGAGATGTTTTTCCTGAGGCTGAGACTGTTTTTTCCTGAGGGCGCGTTTTTCCTAGAGTCATCGAATGCAATAGTATATTTCGTTACGGGTGCGGAAAAGAGTTTTTTGGCTTGTGGGAGGTTTATAGCACAAGCCTTCGACCAAAAACACTTTTCCCACGAGTATCGAACGATATTTTTCATCACAATGTGTGGAAAAGGGGTGTTTTCGACACGCGAGGCGTGCCTAAAAAGTTACTTTTTTGCACAGCGTGATGAAAAATGTTTTATTGTATGTTTTCATATATTTGCGGGTTTCGAGTTGGATTTCTTGCTGGAAAAAACAGAGATATCCCTGCCATTTGACGACGAACAACTCCCTTGAACTTGAATTTTTATCTCTCGCTATTGTTAATGATCCCTATATATTAGTTTTATCAATCATGAGGGGAGTAACATGGATTATCGGAAAAGGTGTGACCAGTAACAAAATAATAAAATCGAAGAGGGTCTTTTAGTACCTACTTGAATCCCTGTCCATTTCAGCGTGGTACTTCCCTTTCGCCAAGTTTACCTCTCTCGCCAACTCCGATAAAATCTTCTCTTTCTTCGGGTGATTTAAGGTTCGAAAAGAAGAAGTACACGGTCGCACCAGTGAGAGAGATAAATCAGCGTGCGAATTGATTTCACATCCTTTGATTCAACATATTTCCACTTCTTGTCAACTTCTCTTTAAATTTCCAACAAAATGCCTGATATGTCTCTCTGATAGGATGAAAATATTCTTAATTTATTTTCATTTTTATGATTGCAGTGGAAATGGCAAAATCGCCAGCTGGGGTGCTATGGTAGGATTTTTAATAATGATGTCACTGGACGTTGGACTTGCATAGAGTCCAAGAGATTAGCTTCAATTAGAGGGCGCAAAGCGCCAATTTTCATAGACAGTTCCCTGGACACCGACACATCAGTTCTAAATCAGTAGATAGATGAATAAAAATAAATTGAAGATGGAGCGAATGAAGGAGCGATTGTGATGAGTTTCTGTAAAAATTGTGAAGTGCAATTACTAAGATTATTATTCGTTAGGCTTGTGAAGGACGATGGTGTACACATCGACGTTCATTGATTGAGAAGAGTCAATTAAGTACTACTAACTTCCCCAGTGTAGACTCTGGTATATGTGCTTCAATTACCAGATATCTAGTGTATATTTGTTACTCGCTAATGAGCCCCAAGTGATGTATTTTGATCCGAATATACTTAGATAAATTTCTATCCACTCTTCTAAAGTTTCTTCGGCCATTTATATGCGCGTATACAACTGATTATCTTTGCACATTCATACTGACCGATCTAACTACCTATCTGCAGGAAAAAAGTATCAGAAGCGTCCATGCGCATCCCCTGCCTTCTAACAAGTGAATAAAAGCGTTCCATCTAACGGCACTACTTATAATTTGCTCCAAGAAACTGCAGATGTATATTTATTATTGATCTGTCCACGATGTTTTTTTGTAGCTTCCTGTTTTTATGTGAAATGTTTTTGTTGACAATGCTATATTCTCTGTGCAACGTTATAGGTGTCAGTCTTGGGCACAACAGCAAACTTGTAAATTCTCATATTAATATTTGAGACTTTATGAAAGAATACTACCACGTTTATTGGATTTTTGTAGATAATTTTCAAGTTCGAGTATAGACTTCCTACGTTTGATAGATCAAGGTCCCGAGTAACTGGAGGAGAAAGAGGATTTGTTAGATTAATGATAATTTCCATTGATCTTAATGATATAAATTGGAGACTAATACTGTTATGAGTGATGCTATCTTCCTTAATGATGAATTTATTTGTAAGAAACGATAAATATAAAATTCATATTTTCTTATTTTTGACGCAATGCAAGTTCGTAAATATATTCAACGTACGCAACATCAGAGCGATGATAGAACAATTATGAATATTTTCGACGAATGTTTGTGACGAGGGATTTGATTCCCACCCATGCGTGGTGTATGTTAAACCTGCAATAGCCAGACAGAATTTCTCCGAAAGTTGAATGATTGATTGTGTAATGATGATCATATAATGGCGACGCACGCTCGTTTCAACAATGAGCGAAACTCAGAAAAGGGTATGTGGGATGAATATTAATGTGAAGTTTTAGGGAATAAAAATGTAAAGAAAGTATTTGGTGGAGAGCAAGTCCGCAAATGAATAAATAAATTTTGAAAGTTGCTCATATAATATCTATAGAATGCTTGTCCAATTTTCTTGCGTTTTTACATTTGTATTTTTCCGAGGACTTTCTAGAATCGTCTTGGAGATACCGTCTCAGATGGCCTCATTCAGGGTGCCAACTTCCTAAAAGGTAATAAATACTGGTGTTTTAGAGACTGGAGATTATTTCGCGTTAGAAGACCGCTATCGCGCTATTGCGATTTAACTTGCCTCGCTTGTTAAATCGCGGATTTCAGGCCCGGTGACATCATAGTATATTTCAATAAAATCAGGCCCGGTCGCAGGCTTCCCGCGCTCCCTCTTTGGGGTATGACCGGTAGGGGTTGGTGGAATTGGGTGTGACCCATTACGGGTCGAACCAATAACTTCCCGACCATTTGTTTTTGTTGACGCTGGGGTCATGCCCCAGCGAATGCGGCGCACGCTATACGCAATGCTAGTCATTGTCAGAAATATTCGGAAAACAGTTGGATAATTATTTCATGCGTTGCATCCATTGTGGCATTACCCTTAGGGTGATTTCGCAAAGAACGCATTTGCAATTTAATTTAACTCAAACTTCAATCAACTTTGAGTTAAACCCACTTTTTACTAGACCCGCTTCAAAATTCTCTCAACTCCGAAGCTGATCCACTTGAAAATTTGCAACTTCAACGTTGACCCACTTCAATATTTTCCAACTTTAAAGTTGACCCACTTCAAAATTTTGTAACTTCAAAGTTAATTCACTCTAAAATTTTCCAACTTTCCCTTTTTTTTTAATTGCAAAATTCGAACGTTTTATTTCAAAAACTCAACAACCACTGAAGCGATTTTCCTCAAAATCCAATGAGAATCAAGTTACGTGGAGACGCATCGATTACAGAAAATCAATTCCAATCCCATCGTTACCTTAGGTAAAATGCGAATGAAGTAATTTTCTAGGTGAATGCAATGAATTTTGAAGAGATTGTCATTCTTTCACATGTTTTATGGAAATAACTAAGAAACTGCTGAGGCAATCGTTCTCATATACTCATCGGTTCGAAGTTTTTTTTAACACTCATAGATTGAAAAAAAGATAATAATCACATCATTTCTCGGCATAAAATCTTTGAATTTTTGTCATTTTCATACATATTTCATGCGAATAACTAATAAACCACTGACACGGTCGCCTTCATACACTCATCACTCCTAAGTTACATGAACACGCATCGATTGAAATAAAAAAAAAAGAGAATGATAAGATTTCTTCGGATAGAATCATTGAATTTTCACGAAATCGTCATTTTCTACATGTTTTATGCGAATAACTGACAAACCGCTGAGGCGATCGATTTCATAATCTAATTAGTTATAAGTTACATCGAAACGCATCGATTGAAAAAAAAAAATTTGAATAGCTTAATTTGTTCAGAAGATATTTGTTCAGAAGATAAAAAAGTTATTAAATAATTTTCTTCAAATATTCATTCACGCCTATCGCATCACTCTACGTCGGAACTCCGATTGGAGCATCAACCGGAAGACGGAAGAGGAGCGTAATTAGCTTGTCGAAAGGTGCCGATCAGTGAAGCGGCTCTTTGCCAAGGGATGTCGGGGTGTTGTGGCACAAGGGGTGGGGTGTACGGAAAGTTCACGCAGTCGACGATTGCCTTGCGTGCTGCAGTCTTCCGATGCACTTCGGCCGGACCGCCTCGGTTATGTGTGCTTTTCTCTCATTCCGTGATTTTCTCCCTTCTCATGAATTTTCTCGTCGTTCGAAACTCTCGAGGTACGTCCTCACTCCTCCTCTACCAATGATAGTGAATGAAAAACCTCAGTTTTACAATAACAATCGTGCAAACTGCGGAATTTGAGTGGAATGAAATCAACAAATCAGTTATTCCATTCAGAAGTGGGGTCCGTCTAGTTGTGGAATGTGCCGACTTCACCTGCATTATCTTCTTTTTTCTTTAATTTTGTTCTCTTCATTCCTACCATGTTCTCTACTCGATCAGTGGTCTTACGTCATTTCTCGGTGCATCGACATCTGTGCTGTTTGTTTTATTTTTGACATTGGAACAACACGAAATCTCGTGTGTGTAGATGAAGTACAAACAGGAAGAGCTGAGAAGTGTCTTGTGTCAGAGCACTGGTGTAAATTCACAACCCCCCTTTGGACATTGCCATCTCACTCTATCACATCTCTTCATCCTTTGGTTTCCCTCTGGTTCCCGTCAGACGGGGAAAGCATAAATGCCCGGGGAAGGGGGGGGGGAGTAGGAGGAGGAGGAGGAGACAGTGAAGTTACTCTTGAGGTGTGTCGGCCTTCTTCACCGGCATGTCACGCCGGCGTCGATTACGTAATCGTCGCGCACTGCAGTACACCGTCTTCGTGGGGTCAGAACAGCTATTTTTTTTTCTCTCTCACTCTTCTTATTTTTCTTTTTCTCATATACCCCTCTTCGTATTACACTATTGTGCAGCTCTTCATCTTACTCCATCATGCGCATTCCATTCTTTTTCACTCCGTACCTCTTTATGGCAATGTCATTCGGGTAATTTAACCGTGGAATTCAATTTACCCGAGTAAATGTGATTTTTTTTTCATCCATCGCTATGGGATAATTGAAAAACTGATGTTTAAATTATTTTCCACAATGCCTTGAAATTTGCTTCTGTAGTTAATAATTGAACATTGTTTGCATTTATTCATGTTGGAGTAGAAAAATGTCTTCGCGCAGTAATGCAAGAGATGACATTTTAATTTCGCTGAAATCAAGATGGGGATATTTCTTAACTGTTTCCTCACTGATGAGCACTTTGCGTTCACGTCTGTCCATAGGGAAGCAACTGTTGCTAGATATTCTATCTTCATTTGATCATTTGATTTGTCCATCACATGTTTCACTGACGTTGAACTTCAACTCGGTCCAAAGAAAATTACCTATTTTCATTTAATCAAGAATAAATAATTCCAATTTCTTCGCTTCTTTGGTTGGCCAACGAACTTCCGACGAGAGAATAATCAACGGCCTCAGGCGAAAAGCGGAAGTCGTAGGAAGCGGCCAATTGTACGCCCGCCGTCCGCCGACACGAGATGGCGCGGGGACGTATAAGAGAGAAGGGGAGAGAGACTGAGAAAAAACATGAGAAGGAAAGGCGGATGCGAGTCACGGGCAATAATATAGGAATGCACTATTTGAAACTAGTGCGTATATTTGCATCTCCCAGGGTAAATTATTTTTTTTCTTCCAATTTTTTTTTGCTTTGCATTCCAACGGAGGCAGTCGAGGTGTTATTGCATTCAATATAATTCTTGACGGCTCCTTCTCCACTGATAATTTTCACAACCCTAGAAGTGACTGCACTCTGGCCTCCCCCAGGCCTATTTCTCACGAATTCTCAGAGTTTGTTTTTGTTTAGCGTGGGAAAAGAGACACCACTCAGGCCGTGAAAATTCTGGGAAGACGAAAACCAAAGAAGCAAGAGGAGAGTAAACAGGTGTTTGGAATTTGGGAATCATTAGCTGATGGTGAGTCAATAGATAATCATATGCATGTTTGCATGCGAGTGTGTCACGGATTGGAGGTTGAAAAAAATTATGGAGACCCAAGCGACATGCGAATAATAAATTATTCGATAAATTGCCATGAAGATCGTATCAAAGGTTTTATTTATTTTTGTTTGTTCTTTTTCGTCATTTTGAATCATTATCCGATGGCCTGGCGCAGTTAGAAAATTCGTTGCCTCACATGCAAGAGATTCGTTTCCTAGTCCGGGAGAATGGTGCGATCTAACCATTTGAACTCTTGATCAGAATCGCAACATATAGTAAGGTTTAATAATGACAGAAATAAAAATTTAAAATAATTATGCCTATTAATGCTGCAACGATTGGAAGTTCCTATCGTGTAGACTCTGGGGTATAGTTTCAGTGGAATATTACCTCATTCTTTCTTTTCGACATCTTTACACCTGAGAGTCGATGAGTTATTTCATACTGTTAAAAAAATTTGGCTAAATTTTGCGGAAAAAGAGCTTGACTTCCAGTTAAGGGGAAGTGGTCTATGGAGTTTCAAGTTTCTCTGAAAATTTGAGTAAAGCTCCAATTTTTTAGCTCTAGGAAGACTTAAATTCAACAATTTACATGAATTTTCAAGTGAAAATGAGAATTCACTGCCCAATTTTCCGAAAATTTAGAGGAATCTGGATTTCAAGTAGATATTTCTTTGGTTATTTTCTCATTCTTTATTAATTTTCCCGCAATAATTAAATTGAATGAAATTATGCATTTTCAATAAAAAAATTCCTTGAAATTTCAGTGGAAATATTAGTTCTTAGAAATTTCCAAGACTCTTATCGGAAATTTCAGTGGAAAATTTTTAACAGTGTATAATGAAAATAATGATACGGAAATACGATTCATTTTTTTACAATTGAAAACATTGACGCTAAGCAACAGCTTTGGGAATCTTCCAAAATGAAGTCTCTCCGTGTCAGAACCTCTTCAGGACGCTGCAAGGAGGAACGAGTGAAAAACATTCAACGGGGCCCTTTCACCCATCTCCATCCTCTTCGTCTCACTTCATTTTCTCTGACTCGTTGCTCCCTCTCATTCTCTGAAAGTCCGTGCCACATTCCATAAAGGGCAAACATTCCTCTGTTTAAACGCCCCTTTTCCCCTCCTCGCCCCTTCTCTTTTAAATATTAAAATGATCAAATTGTAATTCCTTCGGCCGTCAACTACAACTGAGAGCAATTTCAACAATCGAATCATTCGCACTAACAGTAGTAAACAAATCTGGGTACTGTACATATAATTAATGAGTAAGACCGGAGACTTCATTCAGTAAAAGGTCTGGTACGAAAATTGCTAAGCAACCCATGCATGGTCACACTGAAAAAAAAAGTTTTTTGAGAAGTACAGTAGAGGCTCCGTATAAGATACCTCGCGCTCCGAGCGCTCGAAACCTACCCCCTCTCTCGGCACTTTTATCGCCTCTCGAATGTTTGTTCCGTGGGCTTCTTATAAGATACCTAT